GGGGGGGGGGGGGGGGGGGGGGGGCTGGAAAGGTTAAAAAATGGTACCCAAAAAAAGTGAAGGGGACAGTCCCCATTGCCGCCTGCGTGCCCGTCCTAGCCCCCGTCCCGTGCGCCGCGTGCACGCGCACGCGATCACCCTGCCACGTTCCCGCACCCACGCCACGCGCGGCCCGCTCTCGAAGAAGCACCTCTAAGCCACGCCCAGCCCTCCCACCTCGAAGCCTTTAAGCTCAGTGAACCCCAGCTGGTGGTGGCGGTGATTTCCTTTTCACCGCACCTTCATTTGACCTTGTCTTTACCTTTTTAAGTATTTATGTTGTGATAACAAACACTAAATAACTTTTCCTAACCCTAGTGTATGGTCCAGTCGCAGTGACTTCCCCCAATCCTCCTGTAACTTGCTCAACTTAGAAGCGGCATGCAGCGGCAAGATCTGCACACGGTAGCTTCCAGAGTCCTGCGGTGCCCACTGCGCGGCCTGCCTGGCTTCAGATGCTGCCAAGGCAGCACGGATTGCTGCAGCAGCCGCAGCGGTTCGCCCGGCAAGAGTCGGCCGGGAGGATATAGACGTGTGTTCTTCTGCCTGTGCCTCCTCGGATCATCTCGAAGCTTAAAACAGGACAGAAAGATACGTGCAAAGACAACAATCTACGACAATGCAAACACGCACACATGCAACACTGGATACATGTATGCGTACATGCGCATACATGCACACATACCTATCTGCCTGCCTGCCTGCCTACCTAACCTACGTGCCAACATTTGTATGTACGTACGTACCTACATACAGCATACATACATAAATGCATACACATACATACACTGAATCTTACACTGACATACACATAGGTACAGTCTCCCAGGTAGAGCGGTGTCGTTCGTGTCTCGAATTCATCTTGCATGACTGGCCGGCCGAAAATCCTAATTTGTGTTCCTGATGTTCGTTTTACAGATGGTTGGAGCTTGCCTCCAGAACCATGCAAAGTACAGACATGTACAGACAAGCAGTAAATCGCGTTTTCTCGTATAGAATATACATTTTCACAGGTGAGGCAGCGGGAGCACTATTTCCAACAACAATCACTCCAAACACCCGCAGCACCATGGCAGATTGCAGCAGGAGGTCGACTCATCAAGTTGATGGGTTGAAGTGTTGGATTCCACTATGAATTCGGTGCGGCAGCCAAAATCCGTGTACAGCCAATCCACCAGTGTTGGCAAAAGGGGCAAATGGGGCAAATGCACCTACCGAACAAGTCACGACCCGCGGCTCCCTCGCGGATCCAAAGTGACATAGGTGTGAGGAAGTAGCGTGCTAACTGATGCACACGCAGCCTTAGCCCTACGACATCTCGAACCTCGCAACAACAGAGTCCCTTGATGTGGCCGCGTGCAGAATATCTAACAATTTCATACTGCACCAAAATCTGTGGAGGCATTACAATCTCGGCCCGCGGACATCGTCACGTTCAGCTGGCAGAAGCCAAGCACAGACTGGTGATCGTGATGGTATGCAGGCCAAATCTCCCTCTTCCTGGCGACGATGCTGATTTCAAAGTACTCAGAAGTACAAGTGACAAAAACCAACCTCTCTGGGAAATAAGAGCACAAAGAAGCCGCAGACAAGCTGGATGGTGATGCAGAAAAGATTCCTTAGTAGTAGGCTGCTGAACAAGCGGCCAACCAAGAGCTGAAACATAAGGGCCTTGCATGCCTGCACTCTGACATGTGGTGATTTGGTTGCTTGCGGCCGGTTCACTTCGGTTTTTTGAAACCTCGATGGACTGCTTTTCCACTGCTCTTACTAGCCGAGATGCGGAACTGTAATCCACATGTCCCAGAGCATCAGTCCACAGCTCACCCACAACACAGAGGAACAAAGGCCGACAGTGAGCAGCTCCACATTGATGGAGGCGGAGCACTGAGTCATGATGACCTCCAATGACAGGCAACGTGTTCCTGCAGTATCCCCGCATATACAACAACGCATGAATGCTTTACAGCCGAAGCTCACAAGTTGACAAGCTGCCTTCCGAAAGGACAGATTGGGAGATGAAGGCTGCTGAATGTGCGCATGAGAATGGTTTCAGGGTATGCTTCTTTTCACCGCCTGCAAGGCTGTCTTCCTTGTCTTGCGGTCCATGACAAATCAGACCGTGAGATATTGTGAGGGCAACAAAAGGCCTGGGATTCAGGCTAAGTTGGGTTCGGATGGATCGGGCTTTAGAGTCTCGAGTGTGAGAATTCGGGCTCTTCAGCACGACATGCAGCCAGAAGCGATGCTCGTACGTACAGGAGGCAAAAACGAGCCATGTCCACCGCCAGCGCTTCAGGAAGTCAGAGGTCCTTCTCTGCATGCCGTTGCAATGCGAACAACCTGCACCAAAGACCCAAGGTTCCACATTTGGGCCGGTTCGATCGTCCTCCATGCACACTTCCTCTGTCCCTGACTCCCATCTTTTCTCAACTGACTCCCGCATCTCCTGCATCGTGCTTTTGACCGATTGCAACCTGCCTACAGCATGCTGCACGGTGCTTGCCGGCTGGGACCCTTCCCATCCCGCCGCTCTTATTCGCGCTCAGTCTCGTTATAAGGGGTGAAAGCACGACGCAACAGGCCTTGCTCCTGTTGTCAACAATCTATATGATATCAGTTTAAGTTTTGCTCGTAGCTGAACTTGTAACTTGTAACGTGCTTTAGCTTGTGGGACTGCTCGTCTGCAATCCTGCAGGAGGCTGATGATGACGATAATTATGATGATATGACGACGAATACTTCGCTTCGATCTCTGTAAGCGCTCCGCCGTGTCAACGAAGCTCATGTCAGAATGACCATTTGCGCTATCATATACCTGCTAACTGCGCAGAAGTTGTTCGTTCGACGATTGTGCAACAAACAGTTGCGAGCCGACAGCCAAACTTGCAGGTGGTCCGCTTCGAACATCCAGGTCAAGGGCAGTGGTCAACAGTGATGTCTTTATGCACCTTGCTTAACTTGCAACTAGCCGACGGCGTTGATTGCATCGTTGGCTGATAAAGAACTACATTCCGACTCCACAGCTTCCCCAACCACCCACCCAGCCACGACTCGGAATCAGCATCTGTGGTTTTAAGCTTCGCGGATTCAGCAATTTGAGCACATTCCACACAGACGGTGCCTTCGGCAGGGTGGAGCATAAAGATGTAGCGCTCACGATGCTGGACAGGGAGGACATGAGGCCACTGAAGAAGAGCGCGTTCCCCCGGGTCAATGAGCAGATCGCCACGCCTAAGTAAGATTGCACGATGCGTACCACCCACCATGTAAGATTACAGCTACTGCATTCGAAGTCACACTGAAGGCAAACAATGACTCCCACGGCGCGAAAGTACAGATGCAGTTGTTGCAAGGCCTGTGGGGATCAGATACATGGACAGGACTGTCAGCAGCTCATGGCAGCTCGTAACATCTCATAACCAGCCCAGCCTTGTTGTCGCGGCAGTTTCGCTGGAATCCCCAGACGTAATAAATACCAAGAACTGCACCAGCAACATTGGAGTAGAACAGCCTCAGAGTGCCACTGACCATCAAGCTAGATCGCAAGCTGTCCGGCATGTAAAAGACCGAAACAAACGAACAAGCGCAAACCTTGCACACCTGGCGACACCAGAAAACCACTCTTCTGCGTAACGAAATACGCGAATGTGCCATAGAAACACCTTGAATCCAGCCAAGCAGATGCGCAATCATTTCCAGTGACCGCGCATGACTGAGCTTCTTGCCACTGCCAGCCTGCGTAGAGAATAGACATAAACGGAGCGGAATCCGCTTCACCTGTGTCCCCCAGCTTCTGAAACTGCTGTACCTGGCGCGAGTCAGAGTGTGAAGAGCAGGCGGCAACAGACGGCGGCCTGTGGAAGCGGCGACACGTAGCAAAGCATGTTGCCTTAGGGGTCATCAACCAGCTTCAAAGACTTGAGCCGCAGGCGAAAGGATGTCAGCAGGAAAAGTCCCCATGACTAAGATGAACCACGACGGGACGAGACTAGGCCCAAATGCTGCTTTTGCAGAGTCAAGCTTGAGGCTTGTCCTGGTGATGCAAAATCAAAGGAAGACCAGGGAGACATGAGTACCATCATGTCCAGGTCGTCAGCTACTTGTAGCATCTTGTAACACATGTCAATGCCAACACGAGCAAGCCTCTCTCCAAGAATAGCTGAGCCACTGAGCATGCACAGCGCTTTCACGATCAAGGCCAGGCTCAATGTCGCTGCAAATCGCGCCTGTGGTGACAAGTCGGACTTCAAGGCCTTGGTGGATGTTTGCTGTGCTGAATCCACTGCACCACGTCTGGACAGCAAGTGCAACCGCACGTCCTTGGGCATTTGCCACGGAAGACGCCTGCCTCACAGAACCATGAGACATCAGGCACCCCCCAAGAAGATTTTCACTCGAGTTCGTTTATGCGTAAGCCGGAAGCACGACATGAGACTCCTAGCAGTGCAGGGCCTATCCGAGGTCTGCGGCAGGGAAGGTTCTGTTGGGGTGGACGGCAGCTGCACCTGGGTCGCACGACATTAAACGTATCAAAATCCTACCATATGATGCAAGAGTTCTCGGGTGCCAGGGCACCATCAATGGACAGACATGCATGGTGCATTGCAGGCTCAAGTTTGCATGACTAGCAGACATCTCTGCCTTCAATGAATACGACAATTGCACCCGCAGTTACATCGACTTCACACCTGCTTTGAATGTCAGCTCCCGGTTGAAATTACAGTTGATGAAGACAACATGGATCGTGGCTTGCTCGAAAATTCAGATCACAGGTTCTATGACGTGTAGGTCGGGGTCGCTCAGCCCCAGCCTGCCTTCCCACCGCACACGCATGCACCCAAACTCGCTAGAAGAACCTGGAATATCCTGAAATTCTGGAAACAATGCAACACCAGAGAGACTGAGCCTGGACTGCTGGCGAAGCTTGCCTGACAAAGACTAGACATCACAAGTCACTCCTTCCGAGTAAAGTGCACATGAAAATCAATGCAAGGTCCCACCAAGCGTTGGGGCTGGCCTGTCCGACGTCTGCGGCAGAAAAGAGGCAGTGGCAGAAGGCACCTGCCGAAAGCTTGGCTAGAGCAGCTTTGTGCATGCGGTGCAACGATTTTGATTGCCATGCTGTGGCTGGCAAGCGTGAATTTCCAAAACATCTGCTGCTTCCGCTCAGTTAGAAAAAGCTCCCCAGCAGTCGCCAACACACAACAGTGCGCAAAGGAGATCGAAACCGGCTGGACGGGGCCTCCATGCCCGGAGAAGCTTGCCTCACAAAGCAATCAGAAGACTGTGCGCAATCAATGAACTGATAACGCCCAACCCAAGGCACAAGCTGTGAAACACAATATGAGACAGGTGGCGCCGCCATATCTGGAATTGGTGAACGGGGAGGCACACCAAAGGCAGACGGCACCTGCTGAAAGTCTGGCCATTTTCCAAATAGATCTCGGATCATCTCGGACCATAAAGGCAGCACGCACTCCGTCAGCAGCAGCCAATTGCGCAGAAGCAGACGGGCTCCGCCTGAACCGCAGTAGACTCTGGCCTCACCCAACAGCATGCCAGGTGCTTCACAAAGAGCGAGCCACAGCTGCGAAGACGTCGCACAAAAGCCACTCTATGCCGGCCTATTAGATGTCGGCAAGGCTGGCACAGCCGACGCAGACGGCATCTGTCAAAACTTGGCAAAATAGAACTGTGACTTACTTTGGAAACATGGGCTCCCCAGATCTGAAACCGCGTCATGGTTTTCGGGAGCTCGGGACACAAACCCATATGGAGTGCAGATTGCACTTGTGGAACACCGCATTGACACGTCTAACACCGTACAGACACGTGTAATGTGCACCAGCCATCCGGATTATGCAAAGCCCTCTTCCGGCATGCTTCAAGGCACCTGCGGTGGTTCAAGAGTCACGGCGAGTGCTCAATCTTCCCTTCAGGATGACTAGCAACAGCAATCACATCAACACGTTAGGAAATGGTTTCTTCGGGATTGTTGCTTTCCCTTCGCGGGACTTTCGCCCCTAACTTTCGCGCGACATGTTGGTGGCGGTAGCAGTAGCAGTAGCAATAACAGCAGTAGTAGTCGCCGTCGGGTGGTGGTGGTCGTGGGGGGGGTGGTAGTCGAGTCGTATTAGTAGTGGTAGTAATAGTAGGCCGGTGCCCCTTCCTGGACCCA